AAGACATCAAGACAAGACGTGTTCTTTCGTAGTATTCAGACTTGCCATCCTTGTACTGAGGCCGCCAGTCCACTGCTTTCTGGCTTTTGCATTCAGTTGATTTACAAGATTTAAATGTAAAAATCTCTTGGTTGTGTTTTGAACTAAAACTGTATAAGTTGGGTGAAGTCCCCAGGATGTGGGACAGAGGCGGTCTTAAACACTTTGTAGAACTTAAACTTAAAAGTCTTAAAGTGTTTATTAACATGTGTTCTACATAAAGGCAAAGACACACATTTCTACATTTAGGAGGCACTAAAACAAAAAACAACCAAGTTTTTTGGCCAACAAAGGCCAAAGCATAAAGTTATTCTGACAGAGTACACCTTTGTTATACCACAGAGAAACTTTTTTGGTTGCAATGTGGAACTTGAGCCACTAGATGTCACCACTTAGCCCATTTTATTCAATTGCTCTGGAATCAATTTGCATTTAAAATGATTGGTTCTCAGGCAGCACAGTGGCGCAGTTGGTAGAGCTGCCGCTTCTCAGCAAGAAGGTTGCCAGTTCAAATCCCACTCCGGGGGCCTATCTGGGTGGAGTTTGCATGTTCTCTCCGTGCATGCGTGGGTTTTCTCTGAGTACTTGGGTTTCCTCCCACAAACCAAAAACATTAGACTGATTGGTAACTCTAAATTGTCCCTAGGTGTGAGTGAGAGATGGCTGTTTGTCTCGTTTGTCTCTATGTGTCCCTGTGATGGACTGGAGACCTGTCCAGGGTGTCCCCTGCCTCTCGTACAGTGATTGCTGGACATAAGCACCAGTGACCCCCGTGACCCAAAATGGAATAAGCGGGTAAAGAAAATGGATGGATGGATGGTATAATACTCGTATATCTTATATTTTAGGTAGCTTAAACAATTTTATTTTAGTTTTCATTTGCCATTGCTCAAAATGTTTTAAAGTCAGAAAGTCAGATCACGGTGCAACACAGAACATAACGTGCAAAAACAACACAACACAGATACACAACAGTACAATAAATACAAAAATACATCTAACCTAATCTAAACATTTCAATCTAAACACGTAATTAAGAGACAAGACTAGAGACACGTGTTGATTTGTACATAGGTAAAAAGCACATCAAAAATATTTTTTCTCCTTTTACTGTTTCATTGGGTCCATCTTTTTTTTTTTTCTTCTTACATTACCCCTAAACTCAAACAGTGTCCATAGGATTTTATGTATACAGGATTTGTGAGTTTGGTGGTTTGAGGATATTATTAATGCCTTGAAAAGCTTAGAAGTATAATAAAAAAGATGCATTGGTCAAAGACACTGTAGATGAGGGGAAAAGATGTCCCAAAATGAGAGGAATAAATTAACTAAAAAACAAAAACAAAACAAGATATTTAAAATAAAAGCAAAGTGCGCAAAGGGGCATAAATACCCCCAAAGAGATGAGCAAAGTGATCAGAACATAACACAATGAAAAACAATCAAAATGTTAAAGGGTTGGAAAATGATCACAAATCAAAACAAAAAGAGCACAAAGAAATGCAAAAACAACAAAAACTATTCTCACCAGGTGATAAAGTGAAAAAAAAGTATGATCAGAAAGATGTATTTTGTACTAAGAAAGTAAAATTATCACCAAAGGAACAGAATAGAGTGTGTTTAATTAAAATTAATTCGTGTTGAATCACCCCAGTTAACCTTTATTATATATATATATATATATATTGATTATGTCACTGCAGATAATTTCAAACGACAATCACTTCAGCTGCTTTCTGTTTATTCGGCTTTAGTTTGACCCATTTCTTTTCCTCTCGTGATCTAAATCATTTGTAAAAACCAGCGCGCTGCTTTTGCGCGTGAGCCCTCCGCGCTGCCTGAGCGCCATGTTTCACATCAGACACCAGATTTACTATGCAGGCATTCCCTGTCGCAATTCTAAAGCAATAAAGAACCCGGGGAGGACGCCTTGACCCCCAACCGTGCGTCAGAGGTCGGGTAAGTGGTTTTCTGTCTCAGCTGAAGCAGCAGCATCCTCAGCAGGGCGACAAACGGCGTCTTCGTTCACAGATGACGCGCTACACCAGACTTCGTTTTAAAAGCGTTCAATTTAAACCAACTCTAAATAAACAAGTGAAAGTTTAAAATTTAAAATAATTTTCAAACATGTTTTATTTAGTATTAAATAGGACTTACTTTCGGCGTCAATACTTTACATGAAGCACGTATATTTCTGCCGGTGATGTGACTAAATTGTGTTGGTCTCCTGTGTTGATCCCTGAGGAGCAGAACTCCAGAGTTAACGACACGGATCAATACTTTTGATCACTTATAGGCATAAACTGGCTGACTTTATTATAATCATTAACGCCGAATTAAAAAACAAATATTTCTGGTTTAGTAGAATTAAACGCTTTTGTTTATTTGCATTTCTATTAACATTTTAACGATAAAAACGTTAAATTGGTTATTTCCTGAAAGGTGTTTTGAGTTCCACACGAGTAGGCGTGACTCACGTAGGGCACTGCTGATAAATGGGCGACGCTTTCTGTTGATATTTACGTGGGAGCGTGATCTGCATGTTACTGGTCTGAAACCAGTAGGTTGGACCTTTTGGTTGACAGATTAAATCGACATTTTGTTCGGTTCTGTTCGGTTGGTTCTGACCGCATCCAAGGTCCTCTCCTCCTCAGGAGGTCACCCAGAAATCTGCTTCATCAGGTGAATCCAACTAAAATAAATAAAACAATGCTGCATTCATGAACACAGAATTAAAAGACCACAGTATCATTTACAACCAATTATTAAAAAATGTGCCAAAAAATGCACAATAGTTCTGCCATAAACCTAACTAAAATATACTTTGAAGTGATGTTACTTAAATATAAATATTTTAAAATATTCTGCAGATTTGTAAACTACTTATTCTTGAGCCTCGAGACAGTTTGTCATTAAAGAAGCTTATAATAAACTCTCGAAATCTGATACCAGCAAGTATCAAGTTGGCGGAAGTGAGAGGAGCAGCTACCGGAAGTTGTAAAATCTGCACCTTCAGAATAAAGCAAACTTTCTTCAACCATGGGGGAAACGACTTGGATGTTGTCTAATTATGATCAGTTGATATTTTATAGACATTGAATATAGTAAGTATTAATGGGAATTGAAATTGTGAAGATAAAAATAACAAGTAGGTTGTAACAAAAGTATTTTTATAAACGGTAAAGAGTAATTATTGGCAAAACAGTTTTAACATTACAGTACTTGCGAAGAATAAAAAAACATTGGTTTTATCTAAGATAGGATGTAATATTTATAAACATAGTAATCCAGAAGTTACTTAAATTGGGGCTGTTTTTAAATTAAATTATCCTGATTTGTTCATTGATAATACATTAATAGAAAACGTTTTTATTTATTTTACGGCAGGCTTGTTTGTCATCTGACATAAAAATATGTTGTATGGTGAGTAATTTAAAAACTGCTTTATGTAGATATTAATTGGGAAAAATAGTGTTTTCACAACATTCCTACTGGACGGTCACTGAAAACGCACTGGATTCTGAAAAACTGCTGAAATGTGTTAAAGAATCCGAAAACCAAGTTAAAGCCGGAAGGATCATTAAATAGCTAAAACCAGCTGAACAGTAGCTAAAAACTAAAATTAGCAAAGCAGCAGCTAAAAGCTAAAATAAAGCATGAAGATGTTAAAGAGCACTGATCCCTCAAATTCCCTAAAGACAAGGCGAGACGTGAGGTGTTGTTTTATGAAACGCCATCATCGTGAACCAACATTAACACTCTTTTTAGAAGTTTACCGTTGGTAATAGTAACTGAGCAGCTCTTCTCCTAAAAGAACTGACCTGATTGAATCTTTTTTTGCATTTATTCATTCATTTATTTGTTTAATAGAAAAAGAAAAAAAAACATTGAATGAAAAGGGTGCAGAAAGAAGAAAAAGTATTATAATAAATAAATAAATGCTTATAAATGTAACAATAAATATAAATTCTTATAAATAAATGAATAACAATAAATGCATTTATCTACCTGGATGATCAAGCTTATAAACCTTTTTTCTTCTCCTACAATCAGATGTGTCGTAAACAAAGAAAAAACACATGAAAGGCCAACAGTAATTACTAATGGTGTGCATATTTGAAACGACTACAAGCATTTATACTAAATGATTTCGAGGCTTTTATTCTGAAGTTTAACCGGAAGTGTGTTCCATCAGTGTAACTTGACTCGGTCCAGAGCCAGCATCGAGTTGGAACAGCTGATGCCGCTCTTGACTTCCAGAGCTAAAAATAATCAACCGTGTCCGCTCCAACTTTGACTGCACTCTTTTTCTCTGTTTGCTTATTTTTGTTTTTGTTTATTTTCAGCCATCAGGAATGAGACGGTGTCAGTGAGGATTATTCATTTACCTCCAGGTAAGACACTTATGGACAAAACACAAGCTCGAGCTCTAATGGACATTTTGAACTGATCAAACCACTTGGACTGGTTTACAGTTTGTGGTGAAAGGCAGAAGTGTTGGACCTTAGCAGGAAGTGAGTTATTTTTTGAAGTAAAGCTCCAATGACATAACTTCTCTCTTCTTGGCTCTGGCGTTGAAATATTTACAGGATATTTGTCTGATTACATCCATGACATCATTTTGAACCTCTCTGTTTGTTTTCCTGTCTATCCTTATTTTATCACATCTTTGCCCACGCACTCATCCATTCTTCAGTTTTCGTTAATCTCTGTGGATTAATTTAACACGTCATGCTTTAAGATTACACTCAGTGACTGAAAAACTGTTACGCGCCCAACAGGAACAGTCAGATTTGTGCGTAATTTGTTCCTCTTGCGGACCAGTGATGGTCATGTAAACAACTGGACCCATGAAACAGAAGGCACAGGGGGTGTTATCAGGCAGTTGCCCGAGTGTTAAGCAGTTAAAACAATGAGGGAATGCCATCACATGACTCACACTTGATGCGGGTGCTTTGCAGGTTTTATCAGGAGGTTACAGATGTGGTGGTGGCACCATCTGAGCATGTGACCCACGTGTGTTCAGGTGGTCACGCCCCAGAGGAGGACTGTGGTGCACGCATTACAGCATCATCTGTAGGCTGCCATTAACACCGGTGCAGAGCTGGCTGTGATGGAGCGCTGATGATGATGATGGTGTCGTCTCACGTTTAACGTTGACACTTTGTACGACAAAGGACCAGCGTGAGTGAACGTGATGCAGCGGGATGAACACCATCTCACACACCAGTGTTACTTTCATGCTGGGTCTGACGTAAGGCGGTGGTGATTTGGGGGGTCCTGATAGAACAGGGCTGTGTCATTGACAGCCTGGCACAGTCTCGTCCACATGAGTCTAAAGACCGCCTGCCTCATGTTGACGTCCTCCAGTGGACAACCCGGTCCAACAGCACCAGCTCAGACAAAAACAGACACTGTCAAACCTGCTGGATCTCTGTGGGCTGACTGAGAGGACTGTAGAACTAACCCTAACACATCCATCCAAACATCCATCCATTCATCCATCTATCATCATCTATCACTCATCCATTCATCCATATATCATTCATCAGTTTATCCATCCATACATACATACATCCATCCTTTCATCTATCACTCATCCATTCATCATCCCTCATTCATCCATCCATCCATCCATCCATCCATCCATCCTTTAATCCATCCATCCATCATCTATCAGTTTATCCATTCATCATCCTTCATTCATCCATCAACTTATCCATCCAACCATCCATACATCAGTTTATCCATCCATCCTTTCATCCATCCATCACCCATCCATCTATCCTTTCATCCAGTCATCCATCACTTCATCCATCATTCATCTACCATCCATCCATCAATCCATCCATCCATCTATCTACCCATGAGTTTATTCGTCCTTCCAGCCATGCTTCCATCCATCCCTCCATAAGTTTATATATCCATTTATTAATCCATCCATCATTCATCCATCCATCCATGTTCCAGGCAGCTTGTCTTACTTACTTTCAGTCAGTATTTAATATTCCTGGATAATTTGCTTAATTTATGTGATTATATACAGTACATATACATTATTCATTACCGGTATTCATGTCAACACATCCACCAAACACTTACCCCCTCTTTTTCGCCCTAACATTCATTACATACATCTTGTAAATCAAGTCCTTTTATTTTAGTTTGGTAGTATGCTCAATACTGTGTTCAGTTTACTTGAAATCTCATCCGGCTCAAATCATTGAGGTAAACCTTAAGCATTTGTTTTTCTGGCCAACCAAATCATACCACATGGAGCACTGTTTTAGAAAAAGGTAAGTAAGCTCGCCCTGTGATGGACTTGTGACCCATCCAGGGTGTACCCCGCCCCTCACACAGTGATTGCCAGACATGGGCACCGGCGACCCCCATGACCCAAAAATGGAAGAAGCGGGTAAAAGATAATGGATGGATGGATGGATGATGTGTAAGCTCAGTCATCCAGGTAGATAACAACAAAAAGGTTAAATCGTGTCATCTGGACCAGTTTCTTTAAGTGAGAAACGTTTCGTCCCCCATCCAGAGGACTTCCTCAGTGTATGGCCTGCCAACCAGATCTATGTTAGAAACTTTAGTTTTAAACTGTTTCAAATATGTTTCTTTAAAGAGTTTTATGTCTAGAAACATGATAAAAGTGAATGTACTGTATGCACCTTTATTGCAGGGCTATAATGTTACTTCATGTGTAAGTATTTAAAGCCTACAGTCTTAAAATAGAAGTGTTACATTCAGTTCTCCAGTAAAAAAATGTTCTTCCCACTTGAAGCTGAAGTAGTTTTATTGTTTTAACGTCTCAACAATGGAGCCCTGTTGATGTGACCGAGCTCACTAGAAGAAATACTTGGTCATATGTCCAGCTCTAAAGGTTTATGTCCGGTAAAGCCCTATGATCCAGAGAACATGTGAAACAGCCCGCATGTCTCACACGAGCCCGTTTCTGGGAGCACTTCAACTTGAGATACTTCACACAAACGTCCGACCTCGTGTTCTGTTGCGTTGCAGTTAATAAGAAACAAGCTCATGTAGAACGGGGCAGTTTTAATGCTGTTTTTTTTTTTTCTTTACGTGTCGTGTTCGCAGAGTGACTCCAGGTTTGTGTGGATCTGTAGGCTGGTGGCATGGAGTGGGCATTTTGTGGCAGCAACAAGAATCTCACGCCCTATAAAATCGAGGGTAACGTGCTGAAAAATGGCTGCTTCGTGGATGCTCTTAACCTGGTCCCCCATGTGTTCCTGCTCTTCATCACCTTTCCCATCCTGTTCATTGGTAAGTTCTCTAATGAACATCCTTTTTTTGCAGGTCTTCAACTCAAATCTTAAAAGGTGTGAAATTATTTCTGTGCAACGCATCTGACGGTGTCCAGTTGAATAGAGTCATCGCTTTTTTTAGTTCAGATTATTCACCTTGTCTCCAGAGACCATGCAGGTTAGGCCTGAGAATCATACGATCCACGTTTATCCCTCAGTTGGGACAGTGCACATAAGATAACGAAACTTGACTTTCTAGAGGTTGTATGAAAAGTAATAAAGTTTATGGCACAATCTTAGTAAGTTGGATATAACTTGTCTCAGTGTGTACACCATTGGACGGTGGATTACCTATTTGATGTGGATCACCTAGCTGTTTGAATCAGACTTGAATCTGGGTTTAGCTACCCATCAAATGTGGTCCTGATTGACCCCGTCCTAAATTCAAGATCCTCTGAGGGTTCAACAAGGTTGAACGACAAGTCACATGTGGAGGTTTGTCCCTGGAATTATAGCCTGTAACATCTCTGCAGGAGTTTCCTCCATTAATAGCGCTATCACAGAAGAAAACAGAACACTAAAACAGTCCCATACTATCACAGAGCCTGGTTTTTGGACTAGTCGAGAACCGGTTGCCTGATTCAAAACTAAAAGTTTGCTGTGTTCAGATTTCTGCATTGAAAAATTAAACAACTATCTTTGTGCCATTTAATGTACTTTGTACAGTACAGATGGATTTATGATTATCAGGCACGGTGGCTTAGTTGGTAGAGCTGTTGCCTCTCTCTGTGAGACGGTCGCCAGATCTAATCCCGGCCGGGTGCCTTTCTGGGTGGAGTTTGCGTGCTCTCTCCGTACATGCGTGGGTTTTCTCCGGGTACTCCAGTTTCCTCCCACAGACCAAAAACATGCATGTTAGGCTGATTGGTAACTCTAAATTGTCTCTAGGTGTGAGTGAGAGAGTGAATGGTTGTTTGTCTCGTTTGTCTCTATGTGTCTCTATGTGCGATGGACTTGAAACCTGTCCAGGGTGTCCCCCACCTCTCGCACAGTGACTGCTGGGTATGGGAACCAGTGACCTGGAAAGGAAGAAGTGGGTAAAGAAACTGGTTGGATGGATTTAGGGATATTGTATTGATTAGGGGGCAGCATGGTGGCGCAACTGGTAGAGCTGCTGCCTCTCAGCGAGCAGGTCCTTGGTTCAAACACCGGTCCAGGGGCCTTTCTGGGTGGAGTTTGCATGTTCTCTCCGTGCGTGTGTGGGTTTTCTCCGGGTACTCCGGTTTCCTCCCACAGATCAAAAACATGCATGTTAGGCTGATTGGTAACTCTAAATTGTCTCTAGGTGTGAGTGAGAGAGTGAATGGTTGTTTGTCTCTATGTGTCCCTGTGATGGACTTGCGACCCGTCCAGGGTGTACCCCGCCTCTCGCACAGTGATTGCTGGACATGGGCACCAGCGACCCCTGTGACCCAAAATGGAATAAGCGGGTAAAGATAATGGATGGATGGATGGATGGTATTGATTAGGAACAGGAATATTATCTGCTGCCATAAAAGGTAGGTCATGTGCATGTTTTCCTTGTCTGTTAGCAAAATATTGAGACTTAGTCCCAAGCCAAGCACCAACAGATCATGCACATGTTGATGCACCTGTCAAAGGCGGACACATAACAGTACACTCTCCTTCAGTATGTCCGTAAACTTTCTCTTGTCCCGCCCATTACCTCTGATTGGCTCCAAACAATTTAACAAAACTTCGTACACGCGTGCACTTTGACTAGACAAGGCATCACTTAAACTTTTTATTACCCCAACTCCAAGGTCACGGTCACAAATCAAGGTCAAAGTTTATACAAAGTCTGCTTGTCTGGACTGTTGCTGTATAATAGTTTATCGATGTGCGTTTAATGTACCGTACTCTTGTTGTGTAAAACTTTGACTTGCAGGGTGGTGGGTGATATCCCCTCTTTCATTCATTCTAGTTTTACCGTATTTTTCAGACTATAAAGCACACCAGATTATAAGGCGCATTAAGTGAAACAAGTTCATTTTGACAGATTTTTGAGCGCTGTGTACCAAATAAAATCAGTTTGATGTCAGTAAGCACAACCAGAATTACTATATAAGGCACACAGTTGATTTTTGAGAAAATTAATCTACAACTGATTAATTTTTGGAGCCAATACAATTCAACATGGCTTCTACAGCTTATTGATTTTAGCATAAACCCAGGAAATCCTTGTAAAAGAGATTATTAATCTCAGTGGATTTATTTCCTGGTAAGGCAAAAGTAAAAAAAAAATGTCTATAACAGTCAGTTCAGCGAGTATAGAGCTAATAATGTGGTAGTAGCTGAGAGTCGTACCCATCACAGAAGGCTAATTCACAAGACGCCTCAGACTGGGACTGAGAAGTCTTCTGGCCATCTTGGTCCATTCAGAAGACACACCGAGGAGGCGAGGGGGGTCTGAGACAACCAAGTTCTGATGTGCCTCTGTGCCTCCGAGCAAAGTTGTAACAGGGCGTGCTAGCTGACGTGGGGCAAAAATAAATAAATCTAGCAGAGCTGCAGCTCAGTAATGTGATGAACTGATGATACTAGTTGCAAGCGCAAGATTAAACAGCATTTTTATTATTAGGGGAATATTGATGATGACACGCAGCAACGTGGTAGTTAGTTAAAAAAATTTTTTACCACAAACTGAATGACTAGAGTACGATGGAGCTTTAGGGCCACACTAAATAAAAATTACATTGCCATGCTAAGAAAAAAGAAGTAAAAGCCATAACATTAAAACTAGAGTTCATTAAAGTAAATGACACAAGGAAAACGTCCGACACACATTGAATGCATCACTCTGCTTCAGCCCAGCAGAGTTCTGCTCTACGCCTCTTTTTTTTGGCTCCGCTCGGTCCGCTTACATCTGAATGGGTCGTGGCCGGCTTCATATGAACCGCAAGCAGAAGCTTAAAGATGGTCTGGTCTGTGCGGCCATTTTCCAGAACTGTCCCATGAACGTGCTCGTACTCTAAACATCAACAGATCACACAGACATGGGGTTGATGTAATTTTATTAACAATCAGTTCAGCAGAAGGGGCTGCAACGCAGTTTTTCACAGATCGCATGTCTGTCTCCTTATTTGTGTTTATTTGGCAGGTTGGGGAAGTCAGAGCTCCAAGGTGCAAATCCACCACAACACGTGGCTCCATTTCCCCGGCCACAACATGAGGTGGATCCTCACCTTCCTGCTGCTGTTTGTCCACGTGTGTGAGTTCACAGAAGGCCTCGTGGCCAGCAAGTGAGTCCTCACAAACTCTTTCTGAAAATGTCCACAGCTTCATTTGGGATATTTCTTAGGTTTTTTTGTCTTTCTGTAGTGTAATGGGCCACAACCACCTCCACCTGTTCATGCCAGCGTTCATGGGGTTCATAGCAGCCACGACCTCGGTGGTTTACTACCACAACATAGAGACGTCCAACTTCCCCAAACTGCTGCTGGGTAAGATGAAGAGAGCTGCACGAGTCTGTGCTGTTGTCAAATCTTTTCTCCATCCTTAAAGAAGTAACTCAGATTAGATCCTGCTGACAGTTTTAACCTGCTCACACTAAAAATACAGCGTGGCAGCTAAAGTTAAAATAAAGACTAACTCTTTGTCTCCTGACTGGACTTGTCCCACTAAAACAGTATGATTCCCAAGAATAGCTGTAGTTTCAGGTTCCTTTGAAATGTTGATAAAGAAACATTTTAAAACCATCCATCACTTTATCCATCCATCAGCTTATCTAACCATCCATCCATCCATCCATCCATCCATCCATCCGTCAGTCTATCTATCTATCTATCTATCTATCTATCTATCTATCTATCTATCTATCTATCTATCTATCTATCTATCTATCTATCTATCTATCTATCTATCTATCTATCTATCTATCTATCTATCTATCTATCTATCTATCTATCTATCTATCTATCTATCTATCTATCTATCTATCTATCTATCTATCTATCTATCCATCAGTTTATCCATCCATCCATTCATCCATCCATCCATCAGTT